GAGAGAGAGAGAGAGAGAGAGAGAGAGAGAGAGAGGGGGAAAGAGAGAAAGGGAGAGGGAAACAGCTAGTCACCAATCGATGCAAACTTTGAAGTACATCAACTCAACTCGAAGATTTTCGCAAGAATCGCGCGAGTCGTGGCGATCAAATTCGTCATTCGCGTGCGAGATTTGTAGAAATATACAAGAATGAAAAGAGAAAAAAATATATATGACACATGTATAATATCTCCTAAAGTGCTATTTCACTAAGATATTGTAACGACCCTCTGACTAAATGTACAGTCACTGTTTCGTCTCATTGAACTGATTTATATCGAGATTCTCGTTAAAGTAACATATCATTTAATAGACATTAAGTCGTACCTTTAAGAGCACTGTATGAAGATGCACATGCAAACGAGCGATATCATATCAGATCGTGGGAAGTGAAAGCGGTTGCGTGATAGTAATCTGTCGGCGTGCCAATAGGTTTGTTAAAGGGTTCCGTCACGGCTGAACGGCCGCGTACTTTGCGCCGCTTGCGGAACGTCTACGATCAGACCGCATGCGGGATGGGGACCGGTGGCGGCGGAGGCGGCGGCGACGGCGGAGATCGTCTCGAGGACGGCGAGGTCGCCTTTCGGCTTTCCGACCGGGATCGCGACAGGGACGAGAAGTCCCTCAGCATAATGAGTCCCTTCGACGAGCAGGAGGAGTGGGCGAAGATCTCGGAGATCATGGCGTCGTTCGGAACCGGCCTCGTGCGAGAGTCGGTGTTCGTCAGTGAGCTCGAGAAAGAATTCCAAACGAGGCTAGGTAATCTCTAATCGCCGTGCGCACACCACCTTTCCTGTTGCCGACGGCACTGATCCCGCGCAATTTCTCGATACTCGCTTCCCGATCTTCAGATCGAATCGCGTAACGTGCAACGTGGTACTCGCGGATCTTTACAGGATCTTTAGAGGAGTCGCGGCAAGATTGAACATTTTACCATTGCGTGCCGAAGTAATTTCTGACCCTTGAGTTCCTTATTTCACTTTGACTTCTGTTTTGGGCACACAGACCAAAGGAAATACCTTTTCCATTTTCTACGTCTCAGGTTTGAGTTCAGACACTAGCAGCAGCCCCATCGTTTCCACATCTGTGGGTCAGTGGCTGTCCAGCTTAGGCTTGGCGGACTACGAGTCGCTCTTTATCAACTATGGCTTCGACGATCTCGAGTTCATAGTGAGTAGGCGCGCGCTTCATGCCGCATATATAGCACCGCGATCGGTCCCGAGGCACACGAGGAAAATCGCTTTTAATTGCGCGCTTGCAGAACGGCGTGTTGGACGAGTCAGACCTGCGCGACATGGGCATCACCAGCGATCAGGAACGGGCGGTGATCGCGGACGCGGTTGGATTGTTGAACAAACGAGTGGAAAAGCGTAGCGGCGGTCATGGCCAATCGGTGGAGGAGTGGCTCAAGAGCATTCACCTGGAAAATTACGCGGAGACGTTCAGGAAGCATCTGTACACTGACATGGATCGGGTCAGACGGGTCTGGGAGGTCGAGCTGGCGGCAGTCCTAGAGATCCAGAAACCGGCGCATCGCAAACGCATCCTCGCTTCTGTCAGCGGTCCGAACGCGCGCGCGCAAACACGAAACGGCACCGGACCTAACTTGGAGGACTTGAATAAGGACCTTAACACATTGGTAAGTGAGAGATCGACCCGCTTCTGACAGTTGTTGCGATGTGAAGAGAGCTGCCATGTTTATGAGTGTATGAAGTTGGCACCCCACTTTTTGAAATTTATAATTTTGAAAGTTGTTCCAGATTGTTCTGACTTTGTATCACATTGTTCCAAAGTGATATTGCTTTATTCGAAACGGTTTTCGAATAAAACAAAAAAAAATGATTTTTTGAGCTGGCACCCCACTTTTCAAAAATCGAACATTCTGATACCGCAATAGATTCTAGTTGTTCCAAACATTGTTCCAAAAGGACAAATCCGTAAGTTGAATTATAAGTCCAAAAAATGAAAAAAAT